TGTAGGGCTTACTATAGTCAAGGCAGAGAGAGCCAAAAACAATAAATAATAAATTTTTAAAAATGGTATTTTAGAAGGAACTGAGTGCTGTGGTATATAGGGAAACTCTCTAACCATGTTGTTCCTCTACTCACACAACAACAATCATCAACACAGAAAAAGTCTGTGACCATGTGTGTGGAGTTTTCTCCCTAACACACCAAGCAGTGGACACCAATGCCCTTCAAATCAGTTCAGACACTGTCTACCTGGAGATGGTATCAGATCCCATATACCACAGGGTGAAGGCTCAGTCTCAAGACTGCCCCCCATAGCCCTGGTCCTCCCCAACCAAAACTGTTACAAGTCTGGGTCTCCAGATCTTCTGACTGACAGGCTCTTTGGGTTCGATTAATGTCAAGGCATAAATTTTTTTTTAATAAATCCTACAATGTTAATGGAACAAGAATCAAAGTGTGCTCCCAATGGTTTAAACTGCCTTTCTTTTAAAATGCATTCTCAATTTACAAAGAGTTTGTTTGGCTTGGTTATTTTTGTAGTTATGCGTGTAATTAAAAAAATCAATCTCATATAACCGGTTTTTCGAAATAACCATTTAAAGAATGAAAGACTCCAAACTGGCAGTCTCTGAGCTATGTTCTGCCCACAGATACTATTTGTCTGGCCCACACAGTGTTTTTAAAAATAGAAAAGTTTGGCATTGTGGCTTATGCCTGTACCCTCAGCACTCCGGAAGGCCAAGGCAGAAAGACTGCTGGAAGCCAGGAGTTTAAGATCAGCCTGGGAAACATAGCAAGACCCCATCCCTGTAAGATTTTTTTTTTTAATTAGCCAGACATGATGGTACATGCCTGTACACCTAGCTACTTTGGAGGCTGATGCAGGAGGATCACTTGAGTCAAGAAGTTTGAGGCTGCATCACCTGTAATCCTAGCACTGAGGGAAGCTGAGGCAGGAGGACTGCTTGACATCAGGAGTTTGAAATCAGCCTGGACAACACAGAGATCCTTTCTCTACAAAATATTTAAAAAAATAAAAATCAGCTGGGCATGGTGGCACACGTGTAGTCCTAGCCACTTGGAAAGCAGACGCAGGAGGACTGTTTGATCCCAGGAGTTCAAAGCTGCACTGATTTATGATCACACCACTACACTCCCACCTGGGTGACAGAGAGAGACTCTGCAAAAAAAAAAAAAAAAGAGTGAGTAGACCTTACATTAAAATCAGGGCATTGAGTTACTCACACTTGTAATCCCAACACTTTGGGAGGCAAGATGGGTGGATCACCTGAGGTCAGGAGTTCCAGATCATCCTGGCCAATATGATGAAACACCGTCTCTAGTAAAAACACAAAAATAAGCCAGGCATGGTGGCACACGCCTATAATTCCAGCTACCTGGGGAGACTGAGGCAGGAAAATCACTGGAACCCGGAAGCAGAGGCTGCAGTGGATATTGATCATGCCACTGCACTATAGCCTGAGCAACAGAGTGAGACTCCATCTAAAAAAAAAAATCTGGACATCAGGCGGGGTATGGTGGCTAATGCCTAGAATCCCCACACTTTGGGAGGCCCAAGGCAGGAGGATTACTTGAGGTCAAGAGTTCAAGACCAGTCTGGGAAACATAGAAAGATCCCATCTCTAGGAAGAATAAAACACTAGCCAAGCATGGTGGTGCACCTGTGGTCTCAACTACTTGGAAGGGTAAGGCAGGAAAATCACTTGCGCCTAGAAGGTCAAGGCTGCAGTGAGCTGTGATCATGCTATAGCACTCCAGCATGGGTAACAGAATGAGACCAGGGAGGAGGGGAGGGGAAGAAGAAGTAGAGGGGAAGGAGAAGTGGAGGGGAAGGGGAGGGGAAGGAGAAGTGGAGGGGAAGGGGAGGGGAAGGAGAAGTGGAGGGGAAGGGGAGGGGAAGGAGAAGTGGAGGGGAAGGGGAGGGGAAGGAGAAGTGGAGGGGAAGGGGAGGGGAAGGAGAAGTGGAGGGGAAGGGGAGGGGAAGGAGAAGTGGAGGGGAAGGGGAGGGGAAGGAGAAGTGGAGGGGAAGGGGAGGGGAAGGGAGAGGGGAATGGGAGGGAAAGGGGAGGGGAAGGGGAGGGAATGGAATAGAATTTAGGCATCTAGATCTTATTGAAATACTCAAAGATCTGACACAACTAGACATATACCCTACATAGAAAAAAACTGAGTGCCTACTGTTTGCCAGTCACTCATTAGCCTCTTACGAAACTAAATAAGAAATTGTTACTATTTTCAAGAACTTCACATTTTAATATTAGAAGCAAGCATATAAATAAATCACTGCAATTTGTTATGATTTTACTATGTGCTGAGTACTATGTGATAGATAATAAAAATGATAGCAGGATAAAATGGAGGTACAAGGAAAGGGCAAAGATCAATTCTATTAATAGTAAAGAAGACGTCTGAAAGCAGTGGCTCACATCTGTAATCCCAACACTTCGGGAAGATGAGGTGTGAGGATTGCTTGAGCCCAGGAGTTCAAAAACAGCCTGGGCAAAAGAGTGAGACTCTATATCTATTAAAATAAAGAAAATAGTAAAGAAGACTTTGGGAAGGCTTCATAAAAGTAGGCAGCACTGAAGCTATGTTTTTAAGAATAAGTTTCTGCCAAGTGAATAGGGCAGAAAGAAGGACATTTCAGGCAGAGGCAGCAGCATGGTCAAGATTATAGGGTCACATACAGTAGGCACAGATGTGAGATAAGGCATCTGGTAGTTTGGAAAGAAACAATATGCCTTGAGAAGCCAACTAAACCCAGATCATGAACTGCCTTTGTTTTCCATGTCAAGGAATATGGGTTTTTTATCCTATACATCAGTGTTGCTCCCATAGTGCCCCTAAGAAGACTGCTCATGGTTCAGCCAAGCCAAGTAAGAGGAGGAAAAAAAAAGAAAGAATATGCCAGAGGAACCACCCTCCACCCCAACAATAACTGATTAAACCAGAGAGGCTCTACTTTTGTCTATTTTACGTAGTAAAGTTCTATTTTAAAATCTCTTTGGGTACAAAAATTCCAATGTTATAAACAAAATTTATTAAAAAAAAGAAAGCTTGAACAGGAGCCATTAAAAGACTTTTAGCAAAAAATTAAATGTTAAGATTAGCATTTTGGAAACATCTTTCTCTTAACAGTGCCAAGGATGGAATACAGAATATAAGACCCAAAGGACATGAAAACACTTAGCATTTAGTTGCAACAACTAATGCAATTAATTAATGAAATCTGATGAGGAGAGATATTTAAATCTTACTGATAACTATTTTGTTCCAAGTAGCCTACTATATCCTAGGTTCAGGATAAAGAACCTAGTTATTTCAATAAATCATTTCAATAGTTATTTCAATAAAAAGTAATCATGACTGATTAAAACAGGAAGGTAAAGAACAAAAAGTAATTAATCTTGGTAGATGACTTGAATAAACACATGGATAGGTATGGTTAAAACTTGGAATATAGTCATAACACTTCACCTTCAATAAGCTAAGCATAAACCAGGCCAGAAAAAATATATGTTTTAAGGAGGTATAATCTAGAAAGAACAAAGGGCTACAGTTGTGACTACATTTCACCAGCATGTGTCTCAGAGGATTTGTGAGAGGTATATACAAAATCAGAACCATCCTTGAACGCCATTATAAACAACAAAAGAACTTAAATATTAATATACTAAAACTAAAGTGAATCTCAAAGGTTGCTACCTGAGGTTAAAGCTTGATACCTTTCCCTTGGAATTGTGAGATCCAGGTTTCCAAATGAAAGCATGGAATCAACACAGACAAGAACAGAAAACAATATTTAGGTCACTAGACCTATACAATTGCTAGTTAGCATACAGCCAACAAGTTTATCAATTCTCCATTACTCTTAAGGTAAGTATGTAATAAGTTGCACAATTCTACTTGTGGTATTTAATTAATAATTTACGACAAGACTTTTGGAAGTTCAAAGTATTTATGTAGATAAATTTTCCAAAAATTAGAAGTATTCAGTGATATGAATTTCTAGGTTTTTCACTGGTTTTATAACATAATTGCTTTCCCTGATAATGAAATTTTTAAAAGAGCAGGAGAAGGTAGAAGAGAATAGGGTAAAACTCTTATACTCTTCAAAGATGAATCCTGGCAGAGCATGCTGGTGCATACCTGTAATCCCAGCACTTTGGGAGGCCTAGGTAGGAGGACTGCTTGAGCCCAGGCGTTTTGAGACCAGCCTGGCCAACACAGTGAGACTTCATTTCTATAAAAATTTTAAAACTCAGCCAGACATAAGGTGCGTGCCTGTAATCCCAGCTACTCTGGAAGCTGAGGCAGGAGGATCACTTGGGCCCAGGAGTTTGAGGTTACAGTGAGTTGTGACTGCACTACTGCACTCTAGCCTGGGCAACAGAGCAACACCTTATCCCCCTACCATCCCCCTGCCTCAAAAGAAATAATAATAATAATCCATTTGCACTGCTATTTGTGAGACTTATTTCAATCTCTTTGATAAAGATTATAACAAACACTAAATACACAAAATAAATTCTTAAATCCCTCAATGATGAATGAAAGAATTATTCAAAACATTCTCATCAAAGCAGCCTACATAACTCACTAATTATATTAAACTAAGAAGGCTTACCTATTCATTTAAAAGTAGATCAAATGCTAACTACTATTTACAAATAGCTTGCAGGAAGTTAAAAAACTCTCTTGCAACATCAGGAAGAGCTGTTTATAACTTTAAATATGTTGCCAAATCTTAGCTATTAGGAAAGACACTGATGACAGGGGAGACTCCATCTCAAAAAAAAAAAAGAGAGAAAACACTCTGAGAGAGGAATTTTATGAGCTTCTAGCTACATAGTAAAGAAAATGAAATAAGTATCTGACTAAAACAGTAAGAAAATATTCTCAAAGTATCTTTATGTGGGGCATATTAAGAACTTGGATTTATAGAATGAAAAAAAAAAGGATGGGGAATAGAAGTATTACCTGAGGGCAGGAAATTCAGAAAAAGGTCCCTATTCCTGGTGAAAGCAAGCAGTCAGTTGCCAGGGTTTCTTAGATTCCTCTGGTACTCATTTGGGTGATTATGCAATTCACAGCACACCAATCTCCACCACAGCCAGCAGGGAACGCTGCAGGGAATGGGTACACAGGGGACACAGAAGGGAGCAAGTTTAAGGGAAGGAAGAGGAAAGGAATGATGATAACAAAATTTAGCTGTGGTGCACTTTGGAAAAAAAATACAGTTGCATTTCACACTGGATTAACTAAAGGCAAACCGCCTAAATTCTAAGATGAATTAACCATCTAGGATTTTCTTCATTCTATCACTGTTACTACTACTCCCCAATTACATTCACATTATCTTTTTAATTTTATATTAAAATGTTAATTAACAAAAATGAGATACTATGTTGTAGAAGTTATACAAAGGCTGAACTGTATAATTTACATTAAATGAAATCAATTAAGACAAGCAATCTATAAAGCAAGCAATCTACACATACAGATTATCAAATTGGTTTAAGTGCCCAAAGCCCCATTTTTAACTGTAATCCTCATTTCACTGAGAATACCGAGGCATAAAGCTATCCATAAAAAAAAAAAAAAATCCAAAAACCAAAGAGATATCCAGCAATAGGCCATATTTATATACTCAAAAATAAATGGAAAAACTATAGTATTCGTTGGGGGGAAAAAAGCTTTTAATCTAAATTTTCTGGATATGAGTCAACTAGTTAAACCTGCCAAAATGTATTCAGGGCAACCAGTTTATGTTCTATGTATTCTATGGGGACAAAGTAGCACAAATTTATTTTTCCGATCAGTTAAAATTGTTTTTGAACAACTACTATGTACTGCAGTCCTGTGGCAGATGCTAAAGAAACAATGGTGAACAAGAGAAGCACAGACCCTGGCTTCTAAAACATATCAGGGCGATTCTGCCCTTAAAGTGATGACTATTTGCACAACAAAAAACGAAGCATTTGTTTTAATAAAATAAACAGGATATGCTTTAAGACCTAAAGGACTTTTAAAATGGAGGAGACCAGTGATTAGCCTCGTTAAAGCTACCCACAGAAAAATGTACTACTAAAATAAAGCTGAGAGAAGATGGCCTATTATGAAGAGATACAGAAAATTTGGCTGCAGGAATAAGACAACAAAAGATGGGTGAGAAACAAAGGAGAAAACTGTAATATTGGAAAGTTAAATTGCAATCAAATTTGGAGAACCTAAAAAATTACCCCTAACTTCTCTGGATATTTGCCTTAAATATTTCCTTTGTATACACGCCCTAGTCCAGGAAAACAGATTTAATAACTACTTTATTACTCTCAAGCTGTCATTTATGTCCTTTATTTTTTTCTTGAGATGGACTCTCGCTCTGTTGCCCAGGCTGGAGTACAGTGTGGCACGATCTTGGTTCATTGAAGCCTCCGCATCCTGAGTTCAAGTGATTCTCCTGCTTCAGCCTCCCGAGTAGCTGGGAATTACAGTTGTGCACCACCACCCCCAGATACTTTTTTTGTATTTTTAGTAGAGACAGGGTTTTACCACGTTTGCCAGTCTGGTCTTGAACTCCTGACCGCAGGTGTTCCAACCGCCTCAGCCTCCTAAAGCGCTGGAATTACATGTGTGAGCCACTGCACCTGGCCTTTTTCATTATTTCTTCACAAGCTTCTTAGACATTCAGACCACCTCTGTCTCACTGTCTCTCTTTCTGTTACGGTTGCATAGCGTTTTGCTTGTGACTCTCTCATAAGACTCACATTCTATCCTGAATTCTATTTATTCACTCATCTACCAGACTGTTTCCAGAAGACATTCCTATATCTTAATTTTATTTGTATATTTTACAGAACCTTAAGTACTGGTAGGAATGAACAATCTACTAATGGGGATAATCAAAATCATACTCAATACCTATATTCTTTAAAAATAAATCTTACATTTTATGAATGCCCCTCTTTATAGTGCATTTCAGTTATATATAAAATTGCAGCAGGCTAGTCTAAATGCAGTGGTGTTTATAACTAATTGATCACAACCAGTTACAGATTTCTTTGTTCTTTGTCCACTCCCACTGCTTCACTTAACTAGCCTTAAAAAAATTTTTTAATTTAATTAAAAAAAATAAAAATAAAATTGCAGCACAGCAAAAGTAACAAGTTGGGGCCAGGCACAGTGGCTCACACCTGTAATCCCAGAACTTTGGGAGGTCAAGGCAAGAGGATCACCTGAGGTCAGGAGTTCGAGACCAGTCTGGCCACCATGGTGGAACCCCATCTCTACTAAAAACAAAATTAGTCAGGTGTGGTGGTGCATGCCTGTAATCCCAGCTACTGAGGCAGGAGATCGCTTGAACCCAGGAGGTGGAGGTTGCAGTGAGCTGAGATCGTACCATTGCACCCCAGCCTGGGCAGCAAAAGCAAAACTCTATCTCAAAAAAAAAGTAGTAAGTTAGAACAAAAACACAGTCTAATATATAAAAATCTTGGCCAGGTGTGGTGGCTCACCCCTGTAATCCCAGCACTTTGGGAGGCCAAGGCGGGAGGATCACCTGAGGTCAGGAGTTCGAGACCAGTCTGGCCAAAATGGTGAAACCCCATCTCTACTAAAAACAAAAAAATTAGCTGGGCATGGTAGCACACACCTGTAATCCCAGTTACTTGGAAGGCTGAGGTAGGAGAATCGCTTGAACCCAGGAGTTCGGGGTTGCAGTGAGCAGAGGTCACACCATTGCACTTCAGCCTGGGTGACAAGAATGAAACTCTATCTCAAAAAAATACAGACATATATATACACACACACATATATAGTTTTTTGCAAAATCCTAAAATCACTGAATTTTCTGGTGTCACAAAGTTTATTCCTAAATATTCATCCCTACCAACAAAAGTACACAGATTTACAAATAGTTGCTCACACCCATAATCCCAGCACTTTGGGAGGCCAAAGAGGATGGATTGCTTGAGTTCAAGAGTTTGAGAAAAGTCTGGGCAACATGGCAAAAACCCACCTCTATCAAAAACACAATAACTTGCCAGGCATGGTGGTGCACACCTGTGGTCCCCACTACTTAGCAGGCTGAAGTGGGAGGATTGCCAGAGCCTGGGAAGTGGAGGCTGCAGTGAAGAGTGATCATGCCACTGCACTCCACCTGCGGTAACAGAGCAAGACCTTGTCTCAAAAATAAATTAATTAAACTTTTAAAAAATAATTTTTTAAAAATTTATTTTTAAAAATTTTTGGCTGGGCGCAGTGGCTCATGCCTGTAATCCCAGCACCTGGGGAGGCTGAGGCGGGTGGATCACAAGGTGAGTCATTCAAGACCAGCCTGGCCAATATAGTGAAACCCCGTCTCTACTAAAAAAAAAAAAAAAAAAAAATACAAAAATTAGCTGGGTGTGGTGGCATGTGCCTGTAGTCCCAGCTACTTGGGAGGCTGAGGCAGAAGAATCGCTTGAACCCAGGAGGCGGAGGTTGAAGTGAGCTGAGATTGTGCCACTGCACTCCAGCCTGGGCAACAGAGTGAGACGTACAGACTACAGTAGAGGAAAACCTTTGATGCTCTACTAGCAGTGGTAAAAAGAAGCCAGATATTCTTTCGTAGTACTATTTTTGGGTAGAAAAGGAATATATACACATAAAGTTCAAAGTCAGCCTAGTTGATGACTAATATGGAAAATCAAAATTTATACGTAACATTCATCATGGCTGGGAATAATCTCAAAATAAATCAATAAATTGTCAAACAAACTATCAGTAAATCTAATGTCTGAAAAATCAAACAATAAATTATATCCTGAATCATACTGGCTTCAATTTTATTTGAATAATTTGATTTTAATATGCTAACTACTTAATTTTCACTTATGGAAATAGCCAAAAGACTTTTACTTGTAACTTACATTCAAACTGAACTCCAGCCACTAATACCCACTGTTAAATACCAATATTTAATAAAAATATTATTCATCCTAAGCATATAATATGCAGAATTTAAAACACATGTATTCAATAAGAGATCAACTTATTTGAAAAGCGTTTAAACTGCAGTACCAAGGCAAAGTGTAATCCTGCAAAAAAGGAGAATTATTCAACAAAAAGAAAAAAATGGAGAAACTATGTTGCCCTGCTAGTGTCTGAATATGGTTTATTTGCTCCCACGATAATTCATATTGAAATCTGATCCCCAATGTGACAGTGTTGGGATCACGTGGGGTCTAGTGGGAAGAGTTTGGGTCATGGGGGCAGATTTCTTATAAATGGCTTGGTATTGTTCTTGCAGTAGTAAGTTCTCACAGAAAATATATTAGTTCCCATGAGTAGGTTGTTATAAAACCAGGACACCCCTCAGATTCTCCCCTCTTCAAATGTCTGCTTCCCCTTTACCTTCTTCACTATGTTCTTATGCAGCATAAAGCCCTATCTGGAAGCCAGCACCATGCCCTTGAACTTCTCAGCCAGAACCATAAGCTAAATAAACCTCTTTTCTTTATAAGTAAATCTCTTTTCTTGGCCAGGTGTGGTGTAATCCCAGCACTTCAGGAAGCTGAGGCAGGTGGATCACTTGAGGCCAGGAGTTTGAGACCAGCCTGGCCAACAAGGCGAAACCCCATCTCTACTAAAAATATAAAAATTATCCAGGTGTGATGACACATGCCTGTAATCCCGGCTACTAGGGAGGCTGAAGCAGAAGAAATGCTTAAGCCTGAGAGGTGGAGGTTACAGTGGGCCAAGATTGCGCCACTGCTCTCCAGCCTGAGTAACAGAGTAAGACTCTGTCTCAAAAGTAAGTAAATAAAACCTCTTTTTTTTTTTAAACAAATTACCCAGCCTCAGGTAATCTTTTATAGCAACACAAAATGGCCTGGGACATCCCCCAACTTTGAAGAAGTGCTGAGTCAAAATGTTATGTTCCTCCAACTTCAAAGGACTTCAAAGTCAAATAATTCTCAAGTCATAAAAGAATAAAATCTCTTAAAGGATACTGCAGCAGGATGGTAAAACACCTTAGTAACAGCAGTGTTGAAAACTGGGTAAAAAGAAAAGCCAACTGTTGAGGTGGGGTGGGGGCAGGTAGGAAACACCCTAACAGGCAGCATAGAAAAATCAAATGAAAAGG